TACTTTTATAACTGCTGCTGCTCTGGTGAAACCTCAAGAGGAAATGTTAAGTCTTTAACACCCTTATACACTTGATCATTCAGTGCGTGTAAAATATTTAGGAAATATTTAATTGAGTTTACATCATACTGGGCCAGACAGCAGGGCATCTGCAGGTCAGGAAACGTCTTAAAAAGCAGTGAATTTACTTCTAAAGGTATTAATAAGTCTTGAATTTCATTTTCCAAGGCTGTGAATATTTTCTCTTGCCTGCTGTAGACAATCCCATTTAGTCATAACTTCTTCTTTTCCTCTTTAATAAACTTCTGTACTCTCAGGAGGCATAAATCAGTGGAGTGTGCAGACGGTGGAGGAGATACACGTCTTATTTTTAGAAATCATAACCACTGCTAGTCATATTAGCTGAAGAGGTTGTAAAATCATAATGGGCAATTTAGAAATAATCGAAAATTATAATTGTTAAAATAATAGTGGTAATTATTAATTCTACCCATCAGTTTTGTGTTATTTATGTGCCTCAAGGTTTTGTTAATTCCATTATCATTTCACATACAGAATTAAAATTACTGACAATGAATTTGAGATTTAGCGTAAATCTCTTTTTTGGAGGGATAGAAAATCACTTTTATTAATTAATCAGTTGTTTAAGATTTCAGGGATGATGCCGAACATTCTCTGGGTCCATTTGTTGTTTTTCTGTTTTTCAATGTATAACGTCAATTGAGTATCGTTCAAACAAGACGTCTCAAGGTGTCACACTAGGCCTCAATTTACAGTCAAAACAAGTAGTCACCTAACCAGTAAAAAAATCATCTGCACTTTGAATCACGCTGAAAACTAGAATGGCACTCAGCAGAGCGCACCCTCTCTGGCAATGTTAAAAATTTGGAAAATAAAATATGCTGGATCCACCTATTTGTTCGGAGACACATTTGTGGTGGAGCTGTTTTTTTGTAAACTTACTAAAAGTCAGACATGCAAACACACAAAAAGCGAAGTGAAAGCAAAAGTGAGATAGAAACCAAACTTGACTACTACAGCTTTGTGCACAATAAAAAAAAAAGGCTTGAATTTTCATTTGAGAAGCCAGAAACAGAGAATGTTTGGCGTTTCACAACTATCGAAATAGCTGTCAAATTTTGATTTATTAATTTCCTCTAAGTTTAAAATGATATTTTATGATTCCCTGATGTAACTGTATCTATATTCTGAAGCTATCTGTGCAAAAAAGAGGGAAAAATCAGTGAAATGGTCCAGAAAAACAAGATACACGACAGATCGATGTTTAATAAAGTGTCTGTAGGTGGACTTTTTCCGTTAACTCTGCCAGTAATAGAAATGCGTGATAGATTTGGATGTTATTGCAGGTCCTGGGTGTTCTAACACAATGGCTTAAAGCCCAAACCAGTTAGTGTTGGCCACAGCGTTTGCAGGAAATAAAAACAGGGGTTGGTGTGGGTCGCGGTTATGCTGGTGGAATTTTGGACAATGTTTTTGGTCAAGAAGAAGTGGGGCCTGAAGGAGCGTCGAGGATGGGGAGGGGGGAGGTTCAGGGTGAAGGGAGGATAGCTCCGGCTCCAGGCAGCCGACCAAGTGTGGGGTATAATCTGACAGCACTCAGCCAAGACACATGCAGGGTTAAGACCAGGCACCCTACCAAGACCGGGGCCTGTGGGGATATCCTGGTGAGAGCTAATCCTCCAATGGGCCTGGAGCAGCGCCAGGAGCCACTCACACACACACAAATTCAGACACGCATAGTAAAGCCACACATGCGTGCTAAAACTTGTGCATTCCCTCATATACACCCACACACATGCAAACACACCGTGCATGCTAACAACACTCACAGGGGGTTTGGATGAACAGAGAAATAAGACAAAGAAAGCACGAGGAAGTATGAGACTGCTGTGTGTGTGTGTGTGTGTGTGTGTGTGTGTGTGTGTGTGTGTGTGTGTGTGTGTGTGTGTGTGTGTG